GTTTGTTTGTGTGTGTGTGTGTGTGTGTGTGTGTGTGAGAGTGTTCAGCAGTCTCTGGGACTGGAATTGTGTTCCCAAAAAATTTAAAGTGCAATAAAATGTATTCTTATGAATTTGATATCTATAATATAAATCATTTTTATTATAGAGACTAAACAGTGCATGTGTTCGACTAATTAACATGCAGATCAGGTCTGAGTTTGGGGGGGACATTCGTTGAGACTACGACACAGTGACATTGTCATTAGCTTGAAGTTAATTAGTAATTAAGAGAGCTATTTCACTCAGGCGCATCTCTCGCTCCTCTGACAGGCTCTTTACTCCTCCATTGTGACGAAAACCAATACTGCGCGCAGGGGGCTGTTCCTCTGTCACTTCCCACGAGAGTTAATTAAGGGCTTTGCCACGATCCTTAAGATACGTAAAAACTGTGATATTATGGCATGTCACAACCAGCTGTGTTAAATTCAATAATATCCTGAAAACATACAGTGCCCTACCTCAGTTCTGATGTTGTTCAAATTCACTAAACCAAAAGATTAGTAATGGGACATATCAAGATTTTATTTTAGAATCATTTATGCTTTTAAGACCTAGACTTTTAATTACTTTTAAATGTCTATGTTAAAACATCATCAGAATCTCTCACCATGCCATATTCACGCGGCATGTAAAATTTAGTTGAATGGACCGTTATGGCATGTGGACTGAAAGCTGATGGATGTGTTAATAAACACGTGTACACATGTAAAATAAAACCCACATACAGTCATATTTCTCTCCAGTTCAACTGTAAATGCATGGGACCTTCCTATATATGTAACATTGGAGGATTCTTAAATTTTTTCTTTTTCTTCTGAACCTTATGATAATTTCCAGCAAACTATCATTTCCAACACATCTCAAATGATGCATTGTGTTTAAAAGCATTCTGTGGAGGAAATGACACAATGAAAATAACATTGGTAGAAAAAATGTCCAAATACTAAGTTTTGTGATATATGGGATAAGTCTTTAAATGATGAAATACTAAGTCATTACACTAAATTACAAATAATTTTTTATAAATAGTTGTATTTTGAGAAACATTTTGAGTAAAATTATGACTTTTTATGTATTTTTAAAACATTTTTGTCATTTTGTTTTACTTTTTGTCAAAACTAAAACTTTTGATCTCATAATTGTCATAATTTTGGATTTTTATGTCATCATTTCAATTTGTAATCTCCAAGTATGTCATACCTTCAACTTTTTGTCATAATTATGACTATTTCATACTTTCGAATTTTATTTATATCATAATCATGACTTTTTTATCTCGTAATTATGATTTACCCAAGCATGATTTTTTTTCTTATGTGGCTGAAATAGGCTTCCATATATTTACCTTGATTTTTCTTTATTTTTCTAATATTTATTTTTGTCACACGTCGTATCTCAAAATGCTCAACATTTTCTTTCTTTTTTCTTTTTTGTTTTAAAACCTTTGTCCCAATTTGGGACAAGGGTATAAAATAAAACTGCATCTGTAAAATGGCTGGAGAATACAACACTGTAATCTGTGTAATCGCACACAAACAAACATTCATCCACACATAAGCAGAGATCTGGATATTGTCACTCAAAGTCTGGACATTAACCATATCAGACTCTGAGAGCCTGGGGACCTTATTCTCTATAGTATTCACAGAGTACACAAATACATGCATCAGAATGAGGAAATTCCAAATGAATACAAGCACCTCTCATCTTCAGGTGTGACACACTTTGCCCCAGGCCCCTGATCTCACCCTCCCCCTCATCCCCCCTCCACGGTAAGCGGCATCGCCATCGGTCTCTATGGTAACCTGAGAGAGTCCCGTGAGAGGGGTGACGGATGCCTGGCACACGCACATATTGCCAACTCACCAGCATGGCACGCAGCGACCTGCCATATGGTGCCACCCCATATATCTGCGACAGAAGCAGAGGAAGACCTGCACGACCATCCATGCTGATATAGCTCTGGAATTACGACAACAGTGTGAACGACTAGTTTCCGCTATATGGCTCTACAAGATTCATTAGCGCGCTGGCCTTTCCAACACAGGCTACATGCAGGCATATATTTCGGCTGCTCAGAATAATGAGCTCCGTGAAAGTGTCTGTTAATATATGTAGATGATCAGAACTGAAGTATACTAGAAAGGCTGTGGAAGTTGATGGTTGGGCGCAGTTGGTGAAGTTTTCAGACTGGAAACAGGTGTAATGATGCTACAAACAGTCGGGAGGTGCTAGCCATGATGACACTCCAGTTAAACACGCACATGTGCCCACCCACGCACTTTCAGTTACACGCATAAAGGCCTCTTTTCAGCATTGAAATGTTTGTGCCAGACTCAGTTAGCAGATTGTAAACCTTTAAGTGAGGTAGGCCCACTTCACCACACTATTTGATGGGCTCTGCTGCCCCCTGGTGGTGTGGCTCTCAATACAACGTCAATATGTTACGGATCACTGATGAAGGTGGAAATGAAAACAGAACATATACCTTGAAAATATACTTTTATGTTTCAGCAAAATGCACTTACAAATACAGAATACCTAATTTACATTGTTTTACATTTCTTTCTACCTGACAGTTGTCCCTAAAATAAGAACGCAATAAGGATTGATTCAGTTTTCAGTGAAACACATATTTTGACTTGTCTTAATTATGACTTATGACTATCTAATAATTTTGACTGTCATAATTATGACTTTTACCTTATAATTTCTACTTTTTAATGTCATAATTTTGATTTACTAAAGCATTATATTTTCTTAAGTGGCTGAAATGGGTGTCCATTATTGACCCTTTTTACCATTCTTTACCTTTTCTTTGTTTTTGTCACTCATCAGATCTCAGATTTCATCTCAAGTTCTTCACTGACACAGTTGTCTTCCTGGTCAATTCTTACATTATAATATTTTTTTATTAGCCAATAGTTTAGTTAGTCATTGTGGAAATTGTGACACAACTTAAGCCATAAGTTATCTAAAAATATATTATAAATACTTATTATAAAAACATATCGGACAACATTAAAATGCTTTGATGATGGCTCACACTTTGTTTGGACTACCCTAGTTTGAAAAACAAAAAAATGACTATGGATTTTCATATTTTAAAACATTTGTTCCAATTTGGGACAAAGGTGAAACAATAAAATAAAATAAAAAACATAATAAAACAGCAGGATTATGTAACACTGCAAACAATTGTGCATAAAACCTCATTTTCTAGACTCTCCTGGTGTTGTGGTTCACAATACATCTTCAATGTCTTGGATCGCTCTGTTGGAGGTATAAATTAAAACACAAAGCATATTAACCTTGATAAAATATACTTTTATATTTCAGCAAAATATGCTTACAAGTAAAGAATACTGCATTTACATTGTTTACATTTCTTTTTCATGTGACATTTGTCTCGAAAATAAGAACACAATATGGACTGATTGAGTTTTCTGTGAAATGCAGCTTTCATCCTCAACTCAGGATGGTATGACACTGCATTAATTCACAGATCGTCTGTTGTATTTCCTAGGTTTGAGTGAAATAAGTTTAATAAGGAATGACGCAAGCGTAATAAATATGCAACATTGCGTCATCGCTACTCTAATGCAAGTTATTATCAGCTGAGATGAAGGAACAAACCCCACAATTATAATCCAGTTATGCAGAACACTTTAAAAATCTAATTAAACTGCATTAAATGGAATGGAACATTATTTATGTGAGATGGCATTTCTATAAAGCTTCATCAGTCAAAACAGGAACAAGATGTATAAAGCAAAGATCATAAGCATTTTCAATCTAACCTCTAAATCAGATATAAATCAAATATAAACGTTTTCTGAAATACTGTATATATTACACACAATGATATCTAATCCATGTATAAAATACCATTTTAATAACAAATAACCTTTGTGAACATATTTCTTATGATTTTATGTTCTGGAAAAAAATAAAATAAAATTTCCTTGAGTCTCATGCAGAGAATGGTGATATATAACAATTCAAGTCTTTTTTCCTGTTTCTTTGCAAATCTGCCATGATCATCCTTAGCAATAGGCCTGCAAGAACAGCAAAAATGCATTGAAATAAGAACCATTAAAGTGCCTTCCGAGTTCTTGCTTTTCCTTCAGTTCTTTAACGTAACTAAACAGTAACATTTTATTTGTGGCCAAACATATGCTTTCGTTTTTGAATAGAACTAAAATATTTTTGGTCAAATAATTCCCAGTTAGATATAACGTTCAGGATCTTGTCTCTACATAATAAAGCTTATCACCATAATACATTCATCATTTCATCGTGCAACATCTTGGTCCAAGCAAATGACCCATCGAGAGAAGGTCTCTAATGACTGAATCAAAGACAAAAAGCAAACTAGCAGTTTGAAACAAAAACATCCTTTAAAGATCAGAAACTCTTCTCAACGGCAGACGGCTGAGACAAAGAAAATGCTTTGAAGGATCAGCCAATGACAAGATGACCTAGCACGTGTTTCATTAAATGACAGTAATACTCTAATTCTGCAGTAACAAACTGTAATCTCTATCACACTCTGAGTGTGAAAAACAGCCGAGATGTCTGAGACGAGGTATTTTAAAATGTCATACAATGCCAAAACAAATGGTATTAACAATAATTTAATAAACATTGTCAGTACTCAGACACTCAAGCTCTAGCTTTTGGTCTTCATCTGATTAATGGATGGTTTGAACTGCTTTGGTCACAGTAATGATGATATTAAAGAAACTGCTACCATAAACCAACACAAGTGCTACAGGATAAAATAGAAATGAATGAACGCAAGGACCTTAACAAAATATTCAGTAACACACTTCATACTGTGGCTCCTAGTGATCTATAACAGATCCATATCGGTTAAGTATCTCCTACAGCTTCTCCTAGATTCTCTTCAGCCAAAGAAAAGCCGAACAGAAAATAAAAGAACCATAATGAAGAAGCCACCGAGTGTTTGGGACGTCCCTCTTCAGAAAGGTTTCTGTCAGAGCCTGTCATTTCTGCTGCTCTGCTCCGGTCCTGTGCTCTCAGATGTGGATGTTGTGGTAACGGCCCTTCGCTAGATCGATGTCTACTCGGCGAGCTTCTGCGAAGCTTAAAAATGTTCCTAAACCCAGCAGGTTCAGTACTGTGATGAGGCCAAAAACGGATGCCCAGGAACCAGTGGCCTCGATCAGATACCCCGAGAAATACACCATGATGACCCCTAACAAACACACATACAACAACATTAACACATACAGCACACTAACAATCCACTTAAAAACTGACTTTGAGTCCTTGATATTAAGTGATTAATATAAATTTTACATTTATAAAATATTAATGTTTTTATACTGTTCTTGCCTGTAAATGCTCCACAGGTATTCATCACTCCTGAAAGAAAGAAAAAAACAAAATTTTTTACAGATTTAGAAAAGACGAATGAAATAATGAGACTGACTGGTAATATTCCCTGTACTGTTTAAATAGCAGACATATTGCTTATTGTAAAATTACAATAAATACGTGCACACCAAGAATGATAACTCTAACAATAACTACAAAGTTTTAAAAAAATTTTCACACTGCAACTATAACGATAATGACAAAGAGGACCATTAACTAAAACTATAAAAAAATTAAATAAAAGCAACATTAACCGAAAATAAATTATGACGAAACCAAAACTAAAAAAAAAAATATATAGAAATATTGACTTGGCAACTAACTGAAATAAAGTAAGTTTAAGTACTGAGAAAAAAGAAAAAAAAAACGAATAAAAAGTCAAAAACACATTAAAAAAATTACTAAATCTAATGTAAAAACTTAACAAAAATTAAAATGAAAACAGAAAATATAGAAACTAGCTCAAAATATGAATAAAAGCTATTTTAATGATACGAAAATAACCCTGGCTACAATCACTTTCAGAGCTTTTTTTTTTTCGGCTGATGAACAATAAAACCATTGACAGCCAATCAAAACCCTTTCTACTTATGCATACACTAAGAATAAACAATGTTCTTGTCCATTGGTGGGAAAGCTAATATAGTTAGCCTTAAGTGTGCAATCATAGTGTGGATTAAAGTAGAGAGAATGCTACAAACCAAACAGAGCCCCTGCACAGGATGGAGCGAGATCCTGAACATTCACTGAAACCCCACTAGAGAGACACAATTACATTTTCACATTTACTTTCATGCATTTGGCAGACACTTTTACAAACAATTTATTGGAGCTTGAATGAACAGAAATCAAGCTATGACCATGCTCTACTATTTCCTTTTTTTCAATGCATGAGTAAGCGGTGAGTGACATTACCTGTGGCTGAATGTAGTGAGGCCCATAGTTGCGGACACGAAAGCCACAGCTGTGGGGAAGGTAGTGGTCCCACACAGAAACAGAGTAAACACACTGGAGACGCCCATAGAGAAGAACTGAAAAACACAATAATACATAATATATACTCAGTTTTTTAAATACATTTTTATTTTTATTCAGCAAGAATGCAATAAATAGATCAAAAGTGACAGTAAAGACAATTATTGTTACAAAAGATTTCCATTTCAAATAAATGCTGCCATTTTGGACTTTCTATTCATCAAAGAATCCTGAAAATATATCATCGTTTCTACAAACATTTTAAGCAGCACAACTGTTTCCAACATTGATAATAAGAAATGTTTCTTGAGCAGCAAATCAGCATATTAGAATGATTTCTGGAGGATCATGTGACACTGAAGACTGGAGTAATGATGCTGAAAATTCAGCTTTGCATCACAGGAATAAATTACATTTTTAAATATATTAAAATATTTTAATTGCAATATTTCACAGTACTACTGTTTTTTACTGTATTTTTCATCAAATTAATGCAGCCTTGGTGAGCATAAGAGAGTGTATATTTCAAACATACCTGCATAAGTTTTCTCACTGATGCAGTATCAAAACCTTTAAAAGACAAAGAAAGGAGCGAGAGGATTAGTGTGCCAGCTGAGGAACATTTAACAGTTTTATAAGTCAATTACAATCATGTAGACTTGACATTTACAACAGACTTGTAACATTGGTGGGAAAGAGCAAAGTCACGACAGAACAATGATTACAGAGTGCAGCCGTTGACGCTAAGGATCATTGCCTTTCTACTGTCTACCAAAAAGACATGAGCATGAGGAACAAACAAACTTATATCTTTGAACAAGAAACGGTGATTGTATGTGTAGTATATGTGGTTTCGTACCCTGACTGATTAGATGGTCTGAAAGGCAGCCACTAAACAGGGAAGAAGGGATGGCCACAAACCATGGGATCACGTTAAACACCCAACCCTGAGGAAACACATGCAGACATACAATCAAACACACACACACACACACACACAGACAGACAGACAGATGCACACAGGAACAGGCAATGAACAATAGGCAAGTCCAATGCATGTGGATATACACTTTTGAGAATATGAATCAAACACACATTCTGATGCACTGTGATGTGGAGCCCCCTGCTGGAGTTCAACCACAGCAGCATCATGCTAACATGACCAGCTCTCTCTCTTTCTCAGAAATTAATTACTCACATAGAAGGATAAGATATAAGACACAGACAGTTTTCTCACATGCCATAGTTCAGTTTACCTTGGCATCAGGGAAGGTGTCCTTGAAAAACGTTGGCAGCCATGACAGCAATGTGAAGAAGGTGCTAGCGGTGCACAAGTGTGTAATAATGACGGCGCTGAAAAACAGATTTCAGTGTTTAGGATGCATTTGAAATGAATGTCACAAACAAAGCCTGACAGAAAAAAAGACACTGCAGGTGCATTTGCTCATTGATAAATATATTGTAGTTTAGACAAATGTTTATAATGATGTAGATAAAGACTAGTGATATTAGTAGGCTAATAAAAGTGGGTTTATTTTACATCTCTTATGGAGATATGGGCCATCTCATATGGGTGCCGCCATGTTGCGATCACCTGATCAAATACTACAATTTGGGGAAAATGGGAAAATGCTTGTTGCTTGTTGAATAAATCAACAAGCAACAAGCTTGTAAATTCTACAATGGCATCAGTAATTGAAAATGCTAGCATTAGTTGCATGATACTGGATCCACACCAGTGTCAATGTACAGGATTTTATATTATATAATTATTATAAAATTAATTATTTTTAATAAAAAAAATAATAATGTGGGTAATTTAAGAATGCAGGAAAACTTGTGAATGCAAAGTCACATATGACTTCACCGTGTAGATTACACTTGTGTTTACTGTGAGTGCACTCTATAAGTAACTGTTGTTACTAATGTTATTATTCTAGTAACAGACTGTTGCCGGGATGATATATTTTTTGTAGGACAAAACCTGGAAATATGTTCCATCATCCTCAAGTCAATGGGTTTTTGGTTAAATGCCTGCAATAAGGTCTGTGGTAATGTTCATGTTTCATTCTACAATATAGAATATATCAGTAATACCCGCTTTTGACTTTTTTTTTTTTACTTTTACTCATCTTGAAACAAGTGGCTAAATGGGATTACAGAGTTTGTCTGGGACATTAAACGTCATCAAACCAAACGGTAAAACTCATCTACTCACTAGTCCATAGTCTTGTTGCATTTATATTTGCTCTCTTGCTAATTATTGTAACTCAAACTTTGAAGGAAAGGGTTGTTTTTTTATTTATTTCCCCATGAAGACTGAAAGAGTTATCAGAAGCTTAGTGATGGTAGCGTTGAAGTCATGTGACCTTAGTGTAGTTTGTTTATAGCCGACATTCAGCTTTTTACTTCTGGTGATTGTATTTAGGCTTCAAAATTCATACAAGTTGTGTTAATTTGTAAAGACTATCATGATGAACAAAATGTATAAAAATCAAAAATATCTGCAATATCCGAAAGCAAATGGAAAAATCCTATTGAATTTTGTCAAGTGAATCAGAGTGATTCTCTACTCTACAATAATAACATTAATAACAACAGTTACTGCTAGAGCACACCCTCAAGCATAATCAAAATGGTAAAGTGCAGCAGCATTTTTAAATAATTTTATAATTATCATCCACTTTTCCATATACATTAATGTACATGTTAAACTAAAATATTACAAAAATATCCACGTCATGTGTGCAATCAGAAACCCTCAGCCATGTTTAGCTGACAGGATGGAGTACTGTGTTACTGTTTCTGGGTGCTCTATATATAGACAGACATGGAACGGATATGAATCAGGCCTTTATGGGAGCTTAGTAAAGACCCTTTGTTCAGCATTCATGCACTCTCTCTCTCTCTCTCTCTCTCTCTCTCTCACACACACACACACTCAGTATTCAGGTGCTAATCTCACCACACAGCTGGCTGTCTGAAGAGACGCAGCCAGTTTCTCTTGGACAGTTTGGACTGGATCCCAGCGCTGCCCAGAGACTCCAGTGTGATGATGGTATATGACAAACACAAACACAATCAGTCTTTAAACAAACACCTGTTAAGGAAGGAATAACAGCACAGCTACAGTCTCTGTTCTGCATGGAGTGTATAAATGCAGACCTACTGCTTCTCACGTACTTGTTAATTAAAACTGATACATATACATATACATATGTGACCTTGGACCACAAAACCAGTCTTAAGTCGCTGGGGTATATTTGTAGCAATAGCCAAAAATACATCGTATGGGTCAAAATTATCGATTTTTCTTTTATGCCAAAAATCATTAGGATATTAAGTAAAGATCATGTTCCATGAAGACATTTTGTAAATTTCCTACCCTAAATATATAAAAACTTAATTTTTGTTTAGTAATATGCATTGCTAAGAGCTTCATTTAAACAACTTTAAAGGCGATTTTCTCAGTATTTAGATTTTTTTGCACCCTCAGATTCCAGATTTTCAAATAGTTGTATCTCGGCCAAATATTGTCCTAACCATATATCAATGGAAAGCTTATTTATTCAGCTTTCAGATTATGTATAAATCTCCATTTAAAAAAATCCAGGGTCACATATATATACATACATACACTTACCCACATTTTAGCCAAACTACCACAAATGGCTTACACCGTTAAACCATAAATTATGACATTAGCTTATTACACAGCTCTTTAGAATACTTGATTTTGATTGGGCAATCATGGCAAGAAATATTTTAGAATGGCTACTATGTGGAATTTTTACAAAGGACAATACCATCAAAAGTTAGGGGTCAGTAAGATTTTTTTAAAGAAATTAATTCTTTTATTTAGTAAGGATACATTCAACTGATCAAAAGTGACAGACAGACACACACACACACATATTCATATACAGTGGGTACGGAAAGTATTCAGACCCCCTTAAATTTTTCACTCTTTGTTATATTGCAGCCATTTGCTAAAATCATTTAAGTTAATTTTTTTTCCTCATTATCCACTGTATATATATGAAAATAAAACAGAAAACAGTTCTTCTAAATTGTAATCAGATTTCACAATATTACTGTTTTTATTGTATTTTTTATCAAATAAATGTGGCCCTGGTGTGCAAAAAATTGAGGTGCCAAGAGATTCCCAATGCTCACAAGTGTTTGTGCTTCTACGTTCTGTACATACCTTCTCCTTTGAGCAGATACTTCCACATGCAGTACGCCCACAACACAGAAAGAAGCCCAGAGATGTAGAACACACTCTCCCAGCCATACAAGTCCAGCATCAGAGAGCCTATGCCTCCTATCACCAGAGTCCTACACACATACACACAGTCACACAAATTCAATCTGAAAGACATCCGTTCCATTTCTAAATGTAACAGTGAAAGCAGACACAGTTAGAGATCAGACACTAACCCCAGGTATGAGCCGCTTCCTACTGTGCTCATGAGGAAGCCCCTCTCACTCTCCACAACCTTCTGAGAGCACAGACTGGCCAGTGATGGGTAGTGAACACCTGAGCATCACATGATAACAGCAAGAAAACAAACACTCATATTATGACTAATAACCAAAAACGGTCAATATTATAAATGTATACCTTGTTTAAAATTTAAACATTTATTAGTTTGTGGTAACTAATACATAAATAACAGTTAAAAATAAATTAATATTTATTTTTTAAGTAAATATTTTTTTTACTTAAAAATAAATAAATATTTTTAATATAATAAGTAATTGACATATTAATGATATTTTGGGCATCCTCTCACATTACAAATACTCACTTTCTATTTTATCCTATACTGTAGATTGTGTATTGTAATGTGCACTATTGTATTGTAATATTACGTTTTGTACCCACCTCATAATTCTGAATAATGTAAAGCCTGGACGCCATTAATTACTTTTAACAAACTTGAATATTTCTGTAACAAAATCAAACTGTGGCACCATCTATGCTGGCAAAGGAATCAAAGTCATAACCGTTATAGAAATTGTCTTTTTACAGACCCCTTTCACTAAAACAAGGGGTCTGTAAAAAGACAATTATACTTGCAAGGCAGAGCATGATAGTGGTTAGATTTACTAAACAAGTTTTCCCAAACTGCACAGCTCTTCTGCAGTTTTCAGCAAACTACAGCCCCATTTAAAAAAAACACTGAGAACAGCTGAATACTGTTTTGTAACTTTCTCGAAGCTTAAACTATTATTGCAATTCAGTCTCATTAGATCTTTAGTAAACAGTCAGTACAGCATGAAAGCATATAAGCACAGTTGTGTGAAGTTCAGCTGGTTTTGTGATGGTGCGCTCACTCACCCTGCAGCAGGCCCATGAGGAAGCGGGAGATGGTCATGGAGACGATGGGCTGGGAGCAGAAATGGGCTAGGATTGGCGTGAAGGCGGTCATTGCTCCCCATGCTGCCGCTGACAACATCAACACTTTCTCTCCTCCCACTCTAAACAAATCAACAAAACCAAATTAACAAGCATTTATGAACACTACATCAAATCCAAACATGACTTTTTGCATTTGAACATATTTCTGAGCATTTCTCCAGCAAAATTCCGCAGGGCTTGCAACATTAAAAACTTTGTAGTGCTGCTTCAGTCTTTAGATCTGCAGCATGGGACCAATGCAGACAAGCGATTCATTGCAAGCTTCATTTGTAACACCTACTTTATCAAGTTAGGTCCCATTTCTGAGCAGGTTGTGGCTCTCTGGTGGCCACTAGACTTGGAGTTCTGTAAAATTACTGTATTTTAGCTCACACGAGAATCATATTATGAACTCACCTGCAGTAATTTCTTTAATATTATTTGAATGTAAACTAATAAAAATTACAAAAAGCTAAACTAGCTCTAATCTGGGACAGACATCCACTGCTAGCTGTTTGACAATGTAACCAGTGTGATAAAGCAGACGCCATTTGTAGAACACAACCTGTTCTACAAATATTTAAAGCACTTCTGACATCTGGCAACTGTGATGGTTTTAAAATAGAGCCACACCTGTAAAACAAAGACTGCCGTCACATTAACTCAATATCTGAATAGAAATGAATTCACTGTTCAGCCGCCCTTCCTTTCAGACCTTAAAATAGTTTACCTTTATGCATTACGTGTTGTGAATAAGTGAAAATAAAAGCTGTGTTACTATTAATAATGAGAAAGTCAGTTTCATTCAACACTAACTTATGCAACCTACTAACTGTTGCCCAACTATACTTACAATTATAAGTCATTACTAATTTAAGTAGTAAAATTAGTTACTTGTAATTTTCTAAATACCCCCCTCCCTCCCTCCCTCATATATATATATATATATACACACACACACTATATATATATATATATATATATATATATATATAATATTATTATTTTTAATAGTACTAATTTAAACAAAGTAGACAAATAATGACATTTCATTTCTTGTTTCACTAACCTGTCACTGACATAGCCTCCAAGCACCTGAGTAAAGCAGTAGCCCCAGAAGAAGCTGCCCAGCACCATGCCTGTCTCTCTCTTGGACCAGCTGAAGCGCTCTGCCATGCTCACTGCACAGATAGGCATGGCCACACGGGCACAGTACAGCAGGCACGTCCCCAGCAACAACACCACCGTCCATACCCTCGCCACTGGCCTGCAGACAGACAGATACAACCAGATGAAGCAAGGTTTTTTTTTCCTTCTTTACAACAAACAAGATTCCTATGAATAGTTATTACAGGCCACAGCACATAAAATTCCATTTCTAACTGGAAGGTACATATCTAGGTTAATTTGCTTCAGATGCATTGACTACTGCTGATGCACTTAAGTTCATCAACCTTTTTACAAAAAAAGATGATCTAAATAGTACAAAGATTCACAAAGTTTATTTCAATCCTCTGGTTTAGAACAAATGGTGACTGAGCACTCATAGAGTGTGCTTAATAATTATAAATGTATAATAAACTTAATATGAATACATGCTTGTTCATTTTCTTATTTTGAATGAAACTTCACAATTTTGTTATAAAATGTTTAAAAACGAAATAACTGGAAAAATATAAGTACATCTATATATTTTAAAACCGATATTTAAATCATTTTAGCCATTCACAATTTGCTGCAAAAATAAATTTAAACTTGAAAAGGTAATTGTGTCCTAGAATAAAGTGAATTTCTGTGCATAATATTAATATACTTTTGTTTTATAATGTATTAATATACTTTATAATCATAGTAATGTACTTATTTGTATTACATTAATAATCATTAGAGGAAAGTTTGGTGGGGTGGTCTCACCTTGTCCAGTTCTGACTGGACTCTGCCCACTTCTTCTGGGATCCAGCTTGTCCGATATTATCTGCGGGGTTCTCCTTAATACTGGCCAAATCTGGACAAGAGTTCTTTCCATGTTTTTGTAGAATTGCCATTCAACGCCAAATATATCCGTTTGTGACTATCCGCTCTGGTATCCTCTCGGGTCAGTCTGTGCGAGCGTTACAGGCAAAAAACCAAAGCAATGAAAAAAAGATGTTTCTATTCCAGTTTCCTCGCGGAAGCATCTCTTTATAAGACCTCTGCCGCATCCATTGCGCTCCGGCGACTGGCAAAACGAGTGGACTTTCGGCTTTCACAGCTGCTGTTACGCAGCGGGAGGAAATTCAGCTTTCTCCTGATTCCTGAAGTGTTGATGATGATCCACGTGTCAGTTTCTTCTTTCAGCCACGCAGTTCCTCCAACCACTGCCTCTTCAAACCAGGAAGTAACGTGACTCAGCCCCTTCCACTCATAACAATAGAAATTCAGGCATGCTTTCTCTTCGGCTAAATACCTTAATGTGAAACTGAGAACCTTATATTTTTAAGGACAGGTTTAGTAGACGCAACACCACTAATGGTGGCGAAGTTATTACAGATACACCGTTGTAGTGATGTGAAGTCCGAATCATGTCCGCGAATCGATTCTTTTGAACAATTCGTTTAAAAACGGCTCACAAAAACGATTCTTTTACTACTTTACGTCAATTGCGTCATTGGCAATGGCAGTCCGGCGTGACATGCTAAACATTCTTGACGTTCAAATAAGGTTTAGTGCAGCTTTATGTTATTAATTGTTTATTATACGTGTATTCATGCGTCCCAGTTCAGTTTGCTGCAGTCATGGTTCAGCTCATAAAACAAACCTATTTAGAACATAAAAATTATTTGCTTTTACAGTAAACAACACTAAAATTCATTTACATTTCTTGACTTAAATCGTTTTGCACTTTTTTTAATTAACTTTCGTATGCGTTGATAAAATTTCAGTCATAAACAAATCGACATTTCTACTAAGCTATTAAATTTGGTTTTCAGTCCATCAGTAAACTCATTGCTTCACTCCAGCTGTTCTTACTATCAAATTATTCATGTCTGATAGACACAACTGTCATTATTAATAGTTAAAAGATAAATAGTGAACAATTCTTTCAGACTGGCTTTGTGAACCGGTTCATCCGATTCATTGAAAAGATCCGACTCAAAAGAACAATTTGTCCATTAATCGAATTTTGCTACATTATATAGGAAAAGAATAGTCAAGTCTAGGTTAATAATTTATTACCATGACAAGATTGCATTGCCAAAGAAATAGACTTATAGGGCAAAGTCCAAGTTGCCATAACATAGGCCTATTCTTATTTTAACTCATTTGAAGTGTAATTTCTGATTTGGGTCTTTACCTGCCAGTCGCAAACCATTATAATAATCAGTCATAAGACAGCCAAGATGGGGCTTTCATTTGCCATATTGATTTGTTAAAAAACACCGTCTGCAACATTTAATTGGACATCACAGCATAAGTATTTGGCCATAGCATTTAACAACAGCAGCAATTTTGAAAATCAAAGAGTTTGGGGATTTAAAAAGAAAAAGAAAAGAATATTTAATACCTATGTAAAGCATCTGACTTTACATCAGTTGTGATCTATAAATCACAACTGAATGTCAATGTAAGCAAGAATACTATGACAATGTACAGTAGAAAACAATGTCACACGACTTTATAACATTATAATGCAATAAACATTAGTACTCAAAAAAGGGCAGATTTTCTTTGACGGGGACCTTTAACACGCATACAAAATGTATGCCTGTGCACTGCAAATAAAAGTTGTGAAAGCACACAGAACTCGTTCTCGGTTTTGGTACAATCAATCCACTGTCCTTGATTGCCACTGTTGTGCCGTAGGTACAGTGAACACAGTCAAATAGAATGTGAATCTAAATAGTGTGGTTCAGTCCTCAACTATACTTGTAGACTTTCTGAACATTCACTGACAAAATAGAAACATAATCCTCTGCAAAAACAAAATAGCTAAAAGGCGATCAATTCAGCTCAGCAAGTCAAACATTGCGGTAACAAAAAAAATCACAGAAATCCATCTGTGATAAAAAAGTGTTTCCATTTTGGCTAGAAGTCACCCTTAAATCTTAATCTCAATTCCACAGCCCATTTAATGCAAAGTCTCTGATAAGCAACAAGTAAACAAAACAAAAGTTTGATAAAAGGATGTTTGAGTGTCAGTCACTGAGTATAAATAGTTAAGGAAAGGGAAAGCGTCCATTTTGTTCCCGGTGAATCTAAATAGTGTGGTTCAGTCCTCAACTATACTTGTAGACTTTCTGAACATTCACTGACAAAATAGAAACATAATCCTCTGCAAAAACAAAATAGCTAAAAGGCGATCAATTCAGCTCAGCAAGTCAAACATTGCGGTAACAAAAAAAAATCACAGAAATCCATCTGTGATAAAAAAGTGTTTCCATTTTGGCTAGAAGTCACCCTTAAATCTTAATCTCAATTCCACAGCCCATTTAATGCAAAGTCTCTGATAAGCAACAAGTAAACAAAACAAAAGTTTGATAAAAGGATGTTTGAGTGTCAGTCACTGAGTATAAATAGTTAAGGAAAGGGAAAGCGTCCATTTTGTTCCCTGCAGAATGCAAGCATGGAGATGCAGGATCGTTTTCACTTGGGGTCCTCGATGGTGCCTTTGCTAAGATCTGTCATTTTGGGGTACTTGACTTTCTTCTGGTCCAACTCGTTCTGAGCCCACAGCAGCAGTTTGAGGAGTTTGGCAAGTTTCGGTGTCGACTCCCTGTTTTCATAGTCCAGCACCGCCTGGTTTACCTCGCTCCACACCTGTTATAGAAGACCACATGCTGTCAATTACTGGCAGACTGAAAGAAAAGTGACATCAGTGGAAAAGACATTTCAGAAAGTTTTGAGTACAGATTACAAAAGACAAATTATATATATATATATATATTTATTTATTTATTTATTTATTAGGGCTGTCAAAATTAACACGCTAATAACATCTAGACTTCATGCTCTGTGTTGACTATGGTTTCACTAATAATAAACATACATTTGCATAAAGCATCCATATTTGTATGCATGTATTGTACTTGAAAAGTATTAATTTAAGGTACATTTAGAACAGATAAAAAGGTGCGATTAAGTTGTGATTAATCACGAGATAACAATCATGTAATTAATTGCGATTAAATATTTGAATCAACTTGACTATATCCAGCAAAGTAAACGAAAAGATTGAAGGGTGATTGTCAAAAATCACTTAGAATCTCCAAAAGGACACCAAAGAACCAAATGATATAAGAAGCCCATATAAGCACATATGAAAGAAAAAATAATTATAATTGTATAGTATGTGTACAGTGCAACAGCAAAGAGCTTTTTTACATTTTAGAGAAGTCAAGTTGCGATACCGAACAGGACCACATGGAGATGCCAAAAACTCCTAAACCACAGCCTGCTGACTGCATATATCTACTACAGTACACTGATCTATTCAGAATAACTAAACACAGCAACATACACATGACAAATCAAAACATTATCGTGAATGTGTGTGGAAACAACGTGAATGAACAGAAATGTCTGTGCCTGTGTATAAATACAATCTACACCAAAGAACCAAATGATATAAGAAGCCCATATAAGCACATATGAAAGAAAAAATAATTATAATTGTATAGTATGTGTACAGTGCAACAGCAAAGAGCTTTTTACATTTTAGAGAAGTCAAGTTGCGATACCGAACAGGACCACATGGAGATGCCAAAAACTCCTAAACCACCGCCTGCTGACTGTATATATCTACTACAGTACACTGAGCTATTCAGAATAACTAAACACAGCAACATACACATGACAAATCAAAACATTATCGTGAATGTGTGTGGAAACAACGTGAATGAACAGAAATGTCTGTGCCTGTGTATAAATACAATCTGCGATCAATGAGTCAAGAGCACTCATACACGCATTATTATAACAGACTCACGCGTGCTTACTGTACTGTACGACTCCTGTACACCACCGCAATCGTCTTTACCTTGACTGCAGTCTTCATCCATCAAAACTTTATTAGCGAGACACTGGTTATCCAGTCGAAAACATGTAGTTTGCGCCTCATCTGTGTTGTGGTGGGATGTGTTGACAACCCGTTCAGTCTGTACTTCACACACAGCGTGACGTGTGAGGGCTCACGCTCTTCAGAGACAATCACAGAATATGACAGAGCTCGTGTTTTAAAGCGAAACAGACTGGAATGAATAATTCACTGAAAACGCAACGCGAGTCTCTGTTCTCGCTGCAATCTCTGATGTAATCAGCCTGGTTTCCTTTATATTAGCTCTGTTTTGGACGGATTGTTTGAATGCATTCGCTTACTGGATCATTGGACTGAAAGCTTTCCCGGAGTTTAGCAGCTTAAAATGATCTGATCGCAAGCAGAGAAGCAAAATCGGGTTAAATGGTTAGAATAGATATTGTGCTTCAGTAATTTTGCATTAATTGCGTTAAATTATTTTAACGCGTTAAGGATTGTAAAATTAATTTCATGCGTTAATGCTGACAGCCCTAATAATAATATATTAAAAATATAAGATAATATAGAACAACCAATGTTACCTTCTGTCTCTGCATCATGTTAAGCAGGTCACCGAAGGGCGACTCTTCTGGGTTATCAAACGCCAGGAGTGCGAGGGTGCGCTCCATCTCTGTCAGACACTCTCGGCTTTCCTCTCCCTGTTCAGCAAGCTGTGTCTGTGCAAACTCCAATGCAGCCTCAGTTTCCCGCAGGCGAATCAACTCTATCAGGTGTTGTTGCTAAAGAAGGAAAGCAGATACATTTTACTCGTCGTAACTTTGGAATCATTCCCTTATGATTTAACATCAGACAGTTGACAGTTTGAGTCACCGTGAAACAGTACTACATCTTTCACAATACACATTTAATATTGAGGTTAACAACCAGTTTGCAAAATAAAAGTCCAACAGTGCACAACTTATAGTGGCCCCAAAAAGTATTTGGACTCTAAGCCACAATAAATATATACAAGTTATTACATCAGATAAAATCTTTTAGTTGGTTTGTTGGGTTCTAAATGATAAAGCAATGCTTTTCATGTGTTTGATACATTGTTATCTATGCAATGACATTCATACATTTGTAGGGTGGCTTCTCTGTCAAAATACAGCCATAAATGTCTTATAACATACAGGTGCATCTCAATAAATTAGAATGTCGTGGAAAAGTTCATTTATTTCAGTAATTCAACTCAAATTGTGATGAAGATGAAAGTACAGATATCGGTTAGTGTCCAGCAGCTCAGGATGCAGACTGTTGATCAGTGCAATGGCCTCTTGAATTTGTCCCTTCAGCACCATCTCCCTAATTTTTATCCTTTCATCCAGAGAGTCCAGATCAACACTTGGTTCAATGCCTGATTCCATCCTGAACTTCTCAGCTGCCTCTTTAAACCCCTCTATGTAAAAAAAAAAAAAAAAATGTATGAAATGGATCTTCTGACACTTGTATTGAAGCTGCAAGGTGAAAAAATAAAAGTGGTAAGTTGATCTCCTACCTGTCACCAGATAATTCATAATAAGTCGATTCATGTCGGCCCGCTGAATATGAACGTTATTTAGCTTTTCCATCCACTCCTCTCGTGTTATGTCCTCTGGCTTTTCAGCATAACTCATCATGAAGTGTTCTACATTAGCAAAAAATATACATAAAAATTACATATAATAAAAAATACACACACGTGTGCGCGCGCGCGCGCATATATATATATATATATATATATATATATACACACACACACACATCTACATATATATACACACATATATAATATATTGTTTACATATACTATTACGTTGACTTTTTAATTATTTTAGTTAGAGAAAGACTAGGGCACTGATACAACAAGCTACATAAAAGGATAACGAATCAGCTAATACACAATGAGAATATATAAATCAACAATGTTATAGAAATTAAGCAAGATTACATTTTCGCTTGTGATGACCGGAAGCTCTAATTATAAAGGCCTGTATCATAACATTGAAGCCTGTAACGTTACCGCAGAAGAGATCACAACTGATTTAAAAATGTCCGTTACAACAGACACATATAAACGTTAATAAGCACAGATATTCTTCAAGCTTTTATATATTACCATTCCTTGTCCACGCTTAAAATAATCAGTCGATTATGCAAAAAAATTTTTGAATTGTACCTGATTGTGTACACTTTCCTCGCCAGCAGCTCGGGGAGAAAGGCCGTACTAAGCTCTCGCGATTTTAAGGAAAACGAGATTTCAGCTATACCTTGCTTGGATTGGCCGTCGATCAAATGTATTTTAATAGCATCGAGGTAGAGTACTGCTTACATTTTTTTTTTTTCATAATTTAAAGTTTTGTCAAAATAACTAAAATATTACGTTCGTTGTAACTTCTATTTAGTTATTAATTTTACTTTATTTATTTATTTATTTATTTTTGAATGTTTTCATCAGCCAGCACTTACCTTACTAATATCGTGAATTATCCTCAATAATAATTTTGACACCGAAAACACAGCAGGCTTTCAGTAGATCAGAATGCAGAAATGTGCTTCCCTTTTTCCTTTCTAGCTCGAGCGTGACGTCAGCGCACGACTCCCATCGAGCGAGACGCTGCTCGCGATCATAAGACTTTTTTTTTTTTTCATAATTTAAAGTTTTGTCAAAATAACTAAAATATTACGTTCGTTGTAACTTCTATTTAGTTATTAATTTTACTTTATTTATTTATTTATTTATTTATTTTTGAATGTTTTCATCAGCCAGCACTTACCTTACTAATATCGTGAATTATCCTCAATAATAATTTTGACACCGAAAACACAGCAGGCTTTCAGTAGATCAGAATGCAGAAATGTGCTTCCCTTTTTCCTTTCTAGCTCGAGCGTGACGTCAGCGCACGACTCCCATCGAGCGAGACGCTGCTCGCGATCATAAGACTCGGACGCCGCATCTAACCTACTCCTGTTTGAAGGCCTTTTATAGATATAGGCAATCACTTACGAAGAACTGACGAACTGCACTTCTACCTTCCTTTCTCTCCTAGACGGTAAGAAATAAGAACACAGCCAGAGGAAAATCTGTGCGTCTCAATCCTGCTACACATGCATGCATGCTGGCCTTGCTCATGGATTAGTAACGTTACTGTTGTAGTACGTTTCTGAACGAGAAACCTTAATGCAGCCCGGTGCTGACCGGTGAAGCAGCATTAAAGGAGTAGTTCACCGTTAGTGAAAAGTGTGTCATAATTTTCTCAACCTCATGTCGCATGACTGACATTCTTCATGAAACACAAAATGAAATGTTAAAGACTTACAGATTCAGACAACGAATTTTCATTGCATTTTATTTCCCATGCAGTTAAACCGTTAAAGTGCGGCTGTTCTGCACCTCCGTTTGTGTTTCGGAAGTGTAACAGATTTGAAACAAGTAAATGATTATATAATTTCCATATGTGGGGGAACTGTTCCTTTAACAAGCAAACCAATATGGATGCTGAGCGCAGAACATGGAGATTAAAGGCTCTAAATCTCCAACCCGTCAGTCAACAATGTGCCGTTTGGCCTGCATCAGTATTGAAACTCTTCCCACCAGGATGCCATCAGTGTTTGCGGTTATTCGTTAGATTTGCGTTGCTGCTCCATCTAAAACGATGGTCTGCTTGCTAATCATCATGGACAAGATACTGTCAGTTGTCCTGTTGTCACTGGCTTTGCTGTATCTTGACAGATAGAGAAGTGATAGGTCTTTTACTCCGTATTGCTGTCAAGTCTTTGAGTTGTAATTATCTACCCATAAACCCATTCTAGTAGGCTTAAGGCTTTAAGTAATCATAGCTTGAAAAGCCTGCTATGTACTATATGCTTTTTGATATATATATATATATATATATATATATATATATACACACACAGGGCAGGACTTAAGGGGACGGGGGTCCCTGGGCTTGAGGTTATGTTTGGGCCCTATACCTATACTACAAATGCCCTCAAATAGAACATCATTATGGAGTAACACAAAATAAACAAACATATGCTTTGAGGTTCATAAATAGTACAATTAATGTGCAACATGTCTAGGCTATAGTAAAATTTAAAATGTAATATTAAATATTCACTATAATATAATAAACAAGATGTGTTCTCTCAGTTGAGAGATCAAAACCCTGAAATAACTTTGAGCAAAAAAAAAAAAAAAAAAGCCAGAAATGTTGGCTTATTAGTATTTTAAAAGTTATTGTCATATCCGTGTCCTCTTATGTGAGGTTCTTATTGAATCAATAAATTCAATTGAATAAAAAGACATGCTGGCTATAAACAATCAAATGAAATCACTATCAACTAAATTCATAGATGGATTGTGCATAAATGTTAAGTTTAAATATAACATTTTAATGTAGAAATATTAAATGATTGCAAAAATGAAATAAGCTACTTTTTTAATATGAAACTACAACTGCCAGTAGGTGGCAGCAAGTGACTGTTTTAATGAGTGAGTTGAATCAACTGATTCATTTAAAAAGCTGATTAATTTAACTTTGCAAACAGCTGTACATACTTATAGCCTGATTGAATCATTTGCTGGTCCGTGTAACGCTGAGGAACAAGACACTGTTGTTCGGAGACGCAGCGGTTCTGCTGTTTGTTCTATTTTCTTTCTGACGGAGCAAAACGGAATTTTATGTATGAAAGTTACTCTGTAAGTTGTTGTTTATTGTACATTTGCGATTGTGCAGATATTAGAGAAAAAAAAACAGGATTCTTGTTTGCGTGATAGGCTAAATCCTATATCATAGGCATAGCTATGTTATAAAAACAGAAACTCATTAAATTGCTATTTTTTATTTAAAATAATTTTGATGACATTTCTTCACCACTATGGGAATGGCAGTAATGAGAGAGAACGCTCAGAACTCATCAAATGATTGCATAATTTAGTGGAACATTAATATATATATATAGAGTAATATAGAATCATCCTCTGTAAAGAAATGAGGAGTGAACATTTGAGAATTTATCATTATGGGGCCTGATGGTTAGAGAGTCGGACTCGTAACCCAAAGGTTGCGGGTTCGAGTCTCGTACCGGCAGGGATTGTATGTGGGGGGAGTGAATGTACAGCGCTCTCTCCCACCTTCAATACCACGACTGAGGTGCCCTTGAGCAAGGCACCGAACCCCCAACTGCTCTCCGGGCGCCGCAGCAAAAATGGCTGCCCACTGCTCCGGGTGTGTGTTCACGGTGTGTGTGTGTTCACGGCGTGTGTGTGCTCACTGCGTGTGTGTGCTCACTGCTGTGTGTGTGCTCACTGCTGTGTGTGTGCTCACTGCTGTGTGTGTGCTCACTGCTGTGTGTGTGCTCACTGCTGTGTGTGTGCTCACTGCTGTGTGTGTGCTCACTGCTGTGTGTGTGCTCACTGCTGTGTGTGTGCTCACTGCTGTGTGTGTGCACTTTGGATGGGTTAATTCCAACATCATGTCATGTCAACATCATGCTACATGTCACTTCACTATTATCTTTCTAAATGTGCACTCTTTGGGGCTAAAGGCTTAATGGAGCTGTTTAAAGTATCCATGTGATAACAAACCAATCGGTGCAGACGCGATTCAATTCGTGTGTCCTTCTTCTATGTGAAATAATCATAAATACCAGTTTATGCTGTTTGATTGTGGCCTCGAAGGTCATAGTTGTAAGCTGTAGCCCCGGCTGGCCCGTTTAGATCTTGCGTGCGCAGTGGAAAGAAATGTGGCTAATAATTTCTGAATTCTGACTGGCATATAACGAACAAATCAAACAAACGTAAACGGGCAAAGGCGGGGCCCCCAACAAGGCGGGGCCCATGGGCTGCAGCCCACTCAAGCCCAATGGTAAGTCCGGCCATGTATATATATTGTGTGGGTGTGGACACGAGTTCTGCATTGTGACTCATTACCCATAACCACCTCACTACTTTCTACTTTCTCTTTCTCCTAGAGCTCAGCTCAGTGTACATCAACTGCTACAAGTTTTCTTAATTGTAAATTTGACAGTGAAGTGATTTTGCTGTATAGAAGTTGTTGAGCCATTTACAGTTTTTTTTTTTTTATTGGTTTGGTACTATTTTCACAAGTAAGCTGTACATTTTCAAAACCCTTCATTACCCATAACCACCTCACTACTTTCTACTTTCTCTTTCTCCTAGAGCTCAGCTCAGTGTACATCAACTGCTACAAGTTTTCTTAATTGTAAATTTGACAGTGAAGTGATTTTGCTGTATAGAAGTTGTTGAGCCATTTACAGTTTTTTTTTATTTTTTTTATTTTTTTTATTTTTTATTGGTTTGGTACTATTTTCACAAGTAAGCTGTACATTTTCAAAACCCTTAGTACAAAACTTTAAACTGATCACATTTGTTACACCACTAGTCATTCTTTCAAAACATGATCTCATGATTTAATTGTAGTTATATATTTATATATATATTTATAGCACATATTTTCATGCCACATAATCATTGTTTCAAAACACAAGATCATTGTGATATGTATTGAGAACATTTGAATTAATCACCAAAACACAATAGTATGATCTTCTTTCAATTTAGTACTTTTAACAGTCGGTTCATTCAAGAGCAAACAATGCAAGATTCATGTTTCAAATCACCTTTGTTGCTGAAATAATTACAGTAATACAGGCAATAACTGTCATGTTAGAAAATACACTTACATTACCTAACTTGCATATCTCACATAAAATCAATAATGTTTGTAAAAGTATTTATCCAGTGTGTTATCAAAAGTTGTGATGAAGGTATGACATGGCCATAAGGTTTTGTGCTAGAACAGAGTTTACTGTCAATGCAGTAAATGTCCTCACTGTGCCATATGACTTAATCTATATTCTAACTGAATTTTTTTAACATGAAGGGTGAGTTATAGTAATGTGCAGTCTTTGCCATGGTAATGCTTCTATATACAGTATCACTTGGCATAATGTAATGTAAAATGCAGTATTTGATGCCATCTGTCTCCCTTCTTCTGATACATCTCTGATCAATCTCTGATCAGTTCCTCTCCCTTGTGTCCTGCTGTATGTTCACAAATAGCAAAACACATGGTTTTACAAACGAGGATGCCCTCAAAGGAAGGTTTTAGGTGATTTTGTCAAGTTTTGCTTACTTCTGGGTACCAATTTGTCCCCAAAATATGGTTACAGTAAGTAGGCACACACACACACACACACACGCACACACACAGGTTTTCCTATCATTATGGTG